GAATCAAATGAGATTATTGCGAATAAGTTCTATTGTCCACGTGCTATCTACCTTGTTAATGGATGTTTACATAATTTATACAATCATAATTAGAGATCTATAAAGAAGAAAAATTTTAAATTGCTTGTAAAGGTTCAGACAAAAAAAAGAATAATAAAATTTTCTCTGACCTTTTTGGCGATTACAAGCACAACTGGGATAATTCATAATTTAATTGTAAAATTTTGAGAAATTGCAAGATAGGCCGTTCGTATAGGATGTATAAGGGACGGTTCTACATCTGCAATATCCTTAGTAGACTTGCAAGCAGCATTAATTAAGACTCACGATCAGGATTTCCATGCTCTTCGGCAAAATAATTGCTCAATAACTTCGTGAATATTGCCTCACTTTTGCTAGAGGAGTTTCTGTAAAATATATTTCATCGAAGAGTTGCTGTACAATGCAATCGTAGTTTTGTGCCTTTTTACCTAGGGAGGCTCTTGGACTTTTAATATATTGATGATTCTTTGAAAACGGTCGTGACTTTTGAATGGCAAACGGTTATTGTTTTAAATCAATTTTTTGGTCTCTTTAATATATATAAGTAATAAGTAATAATTGAAGGGAAGAGAAAAATGAGGAAAAATCCCAAAAAAGAAGAAAAAAGAGAAATGTGTTTATTGGCCAAAAAGAGGTGCCAAGTCATCACTCTTTGTCCCNATATATATATATATATATATTTAAACGGTACCCACTTAATAGTAAATTAATAATATTCAAACAAATAAACCCTAACGAACATTATAAAAGTTGCGTCCAATATAGATCATGTGATTTGCTACCATAATCTCTAGTTTTTCAATGCAGTAGCTTTATTAAAAAATCCAAACTTGCGGTTGATCATCAAAAACACTTCAGATTTAATTTACAGATGCAGAGTGAGTATTATTTATGTATTTATTTATGAATATTTCTGCAGTTGATCGAGCTTTCAACAAACACTTTAGATTTTGCATAATTTTTGTGGTTGATCGAGCTTCATATTATAATTAATTATAATCAGATTCTTTTTTTGAAGTTTAACAATTGAAAAAAAAAAACTTCACGAAAAAAATAAAATTTAGTAACTTTATGTTACTTACAATTAGTTAGAAATTATATTTAGTTGTGTGATATTTGAAACTTCAGATTTCATAACTTGTAGAGCCTCAAATATTTTGAAAGTTTCAGATTTCATAATAAAATCATGCGAAGCTTCAACAAACAACCAATGTTTCCAGAAAAACTTCAAATGAATGAGTCTGAGGTTCTATAATTTTAGAAGCTAACTTTAGCCATTTTAGTCTGACATAAACTAGTTTTGTTTTACTTCAGATTTCATACTTACAGAGTCTCAAAACATTTTGAAAGCTTCAAATTTAACAATTAAAATCGTGTGAAATTTCAAAAATTTTGAAAAAGTAACAATCACTTTTTCAATGAATCTGCAGTTTCAAATTAGAAACTAATTGCATCTTTGTTAGTGTGAAGTGAAAAACACTTCAAATATGAAATCTTTTTTGTGCTTCACTGTAATGATATGACAGGTCATTTTGAGTACTAGCTTCACTTTTTGTATTTTAAAACTTTTCATAGCTTTATTTGATGATTTATCACTTGCGTGCAAGGTCTGTGCTGATTTTCGAAAAATTCAAATGTGAATTTTTAACAAAAGGGTGATTTTTTGACTTTGAAAATGGCTAGAGTTGACCACAGTCAACGTTTTTTGGTAAACAACCTCGGATCGGTATTTTGATGATTCCCGTAGGTTCGTATGATAACTTTTGACATGTACGCATACTTGGTTGGGGCTTCGAGTGACCGAAGCCGTTTTGGCACTTTATGTGAAAAGTTAGAAAATTGAGTACTTTGAAAAATCTTGAGTTTTGATGTCGATTATTGATTTTAAATGTTATTTTGATGATTTGAGTTTGCGAGCGAGTTTGTATGAAGTTATTACACTTGAGTGAATGTTCGAATTGGAGCCCAAGGGACTCGGTTGAGTTTCGGGTAAGGTGCAGAATGATTTTGCATGACTATTAGGTTGCTGGTGTTGTTAATCTGCAAATCTCGCATTTGCAAGATTCTGATCGCAAATGCGAGTCTCGCATTTGTGATACTGAAGGGGGCTGGGGAGCTTCGCATTTGCGATGAGTGGTGGATTTCGCAATTGCGATATGTTGGTCGCATTTGCGACCCTCGAGAAATTGGGACAGCTTCGCTTTTGTGAAGCCAATTCCGTATTTGCGATTGGTCCCCATGTTCGCATTTGTGTTCGCAATGTTGTATTTGCGATAACAGAAGAGCTGAGGCACGTGGTCCACATTTGCGGACGTCGCAATTGCAAACAAGACTTCACAATTGCAATACCTGCAGCTGGGGTAAAATATGGGAATTTCGGGACTTAGCTCATTTTACACCAATTTTTAGACCTAGACTCTATAGAGGCAGTTTTTGGAGAACAATTTCTTCTCAACTTCATAGGTTAGTAACTTTAACTTATTTTCATTCAATTTTCAATAATATTTCATGGATTTTCACTATGAAATCTGAGATTTCATAAACTATAAATTGGGATTTTGAGTAGAAATTAGAAATTTTGTAAAATTGAGATTTATACCTCAAATTAAGGTCGGATTTCGAAATAAATTATATATTCGGGCTCGGGGATGAATGGGTAATTGGAATTTGGTCTTAATTTTGAATTTCGACCATGTGGACCAGGGTTACTTTTTTCAATCATATTAAAGAACCTTTATCGTACGAGGGTAAATTTTAAGCTTGTTTTGACTTATTTGAACAATAATTGACTAGATTCGGGTGATTTGGAGACTTGTTTCCAAAGGGAAAGCTGTGTTGGATTGTTGATCTTGTTCTGGAACGAGGTAAGTGTCTTGCCTAGTTTTGCTGAGGGGATTTTCCTAATAAATGATATTGTTTGCTACATGCGGCGGTGATGCAAATACGAGGTGACGGGTGTATATGCATGTGCCGGTTTTTCATACTCGGGGGAGGGGGGGGGGGGGGGGGGGTGGAGGGGGGGATTATATACTTCTTTGTGCTTTGTTGAACTTGGTGTTCCATTGACTTATGCTTCACTTAATTCTATGACTGGTGAATTTAATTATATATGTTACAAATCATGTTAGAATGTATGGCATCTTAAAAGGATTTAGCGCGATGTTTTGAGATTGTTTACACACTTAACTTGACTGTGGTATCATGAACACACATCTATACATGTTATTGTTATGTTACTTGAGTTACTACTGCTACATGTCCTTACCTAATTCATGTCTTTACTTGTTACTAGCCTTTACACGTTACATGCACTTATTGTTACGTGCTTTACTTATTAGATGCTTTAACCTATCACATGTCTTTACTTACTACATGCCTTCACTTACTATATGCTTTTACTTGCTACATACCTCTATTTGTTACATGGTTTCACTTATTAAATGTCTCCACTTGATACCTATTTTACTTGTCTTTTCCTTACATATTGTTGTTACAAGTTCAACATTGTTAAGTTTGTTCCAAGAAATTCAGACGTTGTATTCAATTTTGTCATTTGGGAGATAACTAAAAAGACATTAATCAGACATTTACAATTTATAGATTGTTTAACATAACATATAATGTTTTAATCTAAGAAAGTAACATGCTATAATAGGTTACCATTGACCATACACTACAGTTATTGAAGTTATGGTTTGTCTTTGTTTGATTTTCAATACTGTTTGAAGTTATGTATTCTTTTATTTTCTTTCATTTGGAAAACATCGTGCACAAGGCTTCTTATCTGATATAGTTTTCTCTAAAATATTAGTGCTTTAAAAGGGAAAATTTTATGAGCTGTATGAGCTAGATGCTGAAATTGGTCACAAGGAGCTCGATTGGAAAATGACACTAAGTGGCGTGGGAAAATGTAGACAGGTATGCTATACGTAAGTCACTTGGGATATCTGAAAAGGTAGTTTTGGTAATTTTCGGTCTAGTTTAATCTTCTGAATCTGATCCAGAGACTTATTTTCTTGCTTTTCTGTCAGGTTGGCATATCTGAAAGTGGGATAGATGAAGCTGTTCAGAAGCTCCTAGCGCGAGGGTAAGAGTTAGAAGTCTCATTATTTCTTCTCATCTGTCCAAGCCTTTGGTGGATAGAGTTACCTGGTACCTGTATTAGTGGTAGGTAGCATGTACCTCGTGGATATAGTCGAGGTGTGCACAAGCTGGCCGAAACACCACGATTATTAAAAAAAGAGTTAGAAGTTTCATTTTCCAGATCTGTATCTTTTTCAGGGAAACAGGCTAACAGTTTTTGCTGCTGCCAATTTCCAATTTCCTACTTTCTAATGACTGTACGAGTTTATCACTAATTGGAATTTCTGATTTGCTTCATCTTGATCATTTTTTTAACAGTTCATTACTATGTCACCTTTTCTCTGCATGGCTTATGACTTATGTTAGTAGCAATTTGCAACTGACCACTTTGTTGATAATACTTGTTTAGTATCTTATTAGGTATCTTTTCATTTATCTTGAGTTTATCTATCTACTTTGAAGGTACAATGTAGGACGGATGGAACAGTTGGAAACATCTGAGCAAGCAAAATCTAGAGGCTCTACTTCTGTAAGTGCAACATGAATTTTGTGAAAGCATGAAGTCATTGACTTAACCTAGTTCTTTAAAAACAGTTGTAATGCTTGCTTTCAAGTCATTTGAGTTAACCTAGTTCTTTAAAAACCGTTGTAATGCTTAGGGCTGTGTGAGGTTAGTGATGGTCCTTTAACTGTTCTAAATGTGATAATAAACACATAAGATACATAGAAGCAATTAATACTTTGAAAAATTCGGGATACATATATATAGTTTGGTTGAGCATTCATAAATTACCTAGTTCTTTAAAAACATTTGCAGCGCTTAGGGCTATGTGAGGTTGGTCATAGTCATTTAACTGTTATAATGTGAAAATAAAGCAACAGAAGATACATAGAAGCAATTAATGCTTCGAAAAATTCTGGACGTACACATTTTTATGAATCTTTTTTGTCACGACCCGAAATTTCTCACCGACGGGACCGTGATGGCGCCTAACATTTCACTTGCTAGGCAAGCCAACGTTAGAGAATCATTAAACCAATTCCTTATTTCCATTTAGTAAATAACAATAATTAACTAAGATGAAATATAAGAGGTGCGAAATTTTATAAAACTGTATTAATTACTACCACCCGGATCTGGAGTCACAATTCACGAGCATTCTAGAATTTACTACAAGTAATAGTCTGAAAGAAATACAACTGTCTGAATAAAAGAAAACAGTAGGACATAAAAGATAGACGGGGACTTCAAGGTCTGTGGACGCCGACAGATCTACCTTGAGTCTCCGGACAACGGACCAATAGCAAAATCTTGATCAACCTGAGCCGGTATCAAAATCTGCACAGAAAGTACAGAGTGCAACATCAGTACAACAGACCCCATGTACTGGTAAGTGCCGAGCCTAACCTCGGCAAAGTAGTAACGAGGCTAGGACAAGATACCCACATATAACCTGAACAGTATAATCATGCTAGTGGCAACAACAGTAAATAAAGGAATAACGCAGAAATAATGGGAAGGGGACATACAGTGGGGGAATACAATACAAAGAGTGAGAATAATGAAAAGACAGAATTAAACTGAAAATCCTTAAACAAATTGAGCAAATAAAAATAGCAAAGAAAAACTATACGGCATCACCCTTCGTGCTTTTACTCTCAACCTCACCAAATAAATAAATAGAACGGCACGGCATCACCCTTCGTGCTTTTACTTTCAACCTCACCAAATAAATAAATAGAACGGCACGGCATCACCTTTCGTGCTTTTACTCTCAACCTCACCAAATAAATAAATAGAACAGCACGGCATCACCCTTCATGCATTAAACCTCTCATAATATACACGGCATCACCCTTCGTGCTTTACACTCTTCCTCACAATATAAATAATGCATGCACGACATCACCCTTCGTGCCTTACACTACTCACAAATCACAGAATCAATAACAACGGATAGATATGAGTATCACAAAGAAACCAGTATTTTACCCATAATCAATAGCACAATGTAACCTCAACCTTGAATCAATATTCAAAAGTTACCAAATCTCAGTGAAACAAGATATAAGTCACCCAACATTTTAAATAACCCGCTAAGCATGGATAGTAGAATTTAAGGCTACAAAATAGACAAGAATAGAATTTCACTCGCATGCTATGACTCGACAAAGACGCATAGATGCTCGTCACCTCACCTATACATCGCATTTAATAACCAAACACGTAGCAAATAAATACATAATACCTATTCCCTCAAGTCAAAGTTAGACGCGACACTTACCTTGCTGCGAAGACCACTTAATTCTCAATCATAGCTTTTCCTTTGGAATTCACCTCCAAACCACTCGTATCTATTCAAAAATGACTCAATAACATCAAATATTGCTAAAGGAATCAATTATATTTCATAAATTAAATTTCCCAATTTTTTCTCCAAAAAGTCGAAAAATCGTCCCCGGACTCGCTTGGTCAAAATCCGAGGTTCGGACCAAAATTATTTTACCCATTCACCCCCGAGCCCGAATACGTAATTAGTTTTGGAATCCGACCTCAAATTGGGGTCTAAATCCTCAAATTTCTGAAATTCCTAGTTTCTACCCTAACCCCTAATTTTACCATGAAAACTCTAGAATTTAGGTTGATAATTCATAAATGTAATGGGTAATTGAAAGAAAATGGTTTAGAATCACTTACCAACAATTTGAGGAAGAAATGGCTCTTGAAAAATCGCTTCTCACCGTTTGGTTTTTGAGAAAAATGAATTTTTGGCTAAAATCTCATTTTTGGATTCTGTTAAGTGCTGGGCGACAGTGTTCAGCGCGTTCGCGAGAGCACTGTCGCATTCGCGAAGGGTACTGGCTGCTAAGCCTTCGCGTTCGCGAGACCCAGCTCGTGTTCGCGATGGTTACTCCTCCCTGGCCTTCGCGTTCGCGGGGCATTGCTCGCGTTCGCGATGAAGGAACAGCTAACTCCCCCTTCCCAATGCCTAACACCACGCGTTCGCGATGGGCTTGTCGCATTCGCGAAGGGTAATGCCCCCATCGCTTCGCGTTCGCGAAGAAGAAATCCCTGCCTCATCAGTTTACTCTTCGCGTTCGCGAGAGTACCTTCGCGAACGCGAAGAAGGATATGCCAGACACCAGAATCTGCAGAAAACCAGATTTTTCCCAAGTCCAAAACATCCCGTGGCCTATCCGAAACTCACCCGAGCCCTCGGGGCTCCAAACCAAACATGCACACAAGTCTAAAAACATCATACGAACTTGCTCGCGCGATCAAATCGCCAAAATAACACCTAGAACTACGAATTTAGCACCAAATCAAATGATATTCTCAAGAACACTTTAAAATTTTTATTTTCTCAACTAGACGTCCGAATCACGTCAAATCAACTCCGTTTCTCACCAAATTT